CCGGGTTAAAAAATAATTGATAGTAAAAAGGAATGCATTGCATAGGTGGTTTTGAGAATTTTTCTTGTAATCTGAATGGATTTCCACCTCAATTCTTTAAAAATAAGCAAAGTTTTTTGCAAGAATTCTGATATTCAAAAAAATGGATGCTATTAATTTAAACAAGGGATTAGTCTAAAATCAAATATTTCATTAAATTATCTGTTCAAACATTCTCTTATAGCGATTTAATTACAATAAACAAAGAAAGTTATCCTAATTTTATTAAATCATTAGAGAATTTTTATATGACAAAATTTTCGAGGTTGTGGTAGGAACCCTTTCTTCACCACCCCCATTATAAATTTGGATCTTTTATTCTTCCAGTCGGTAAACCTAGGGCGCTCACCCAGATTTATTTTGCAGGCAGTCAAAGTACATCATTCTTATCCCGGTATCAATAAACACAGTTGTGTGCAGCGCTTGCGCTTTGATTTCATATCGTAATTCGTCCATTTATATGTTTGCCAAAAGATACTTGTTTAATGATAAGAAGTAGGTGATCGGTTATGTCAAAAACATTTTTCTAATCCACTATGCTCTCTCTCTCTGGGTTCTAAATTCTTCAGAAGGATAGATAGTTCCTTCTATGATAAGGTATTAGTGTACAAAGACTGCATATTTAACCTTTTTATTCCATTTAATCCTATGTTATTGAGCCTTTGAGAAAGTAACAAAATTCCGTATGATGTTTTCATAATATATTGCTTACGTTCTTGATCCTCTAAACTATAAATTCTGGCAGTTCATATGTTGAGCCATTTAGTAAAATTAAATAGCATGTTTATGAAAAACTTAACATGAATGAGCTTGAAGTAAATAAAGGAATAATTTAATCAGCCGACTGGAATGCTTATCAACGGATATGTATATATAAAAGAGGGTTTAAAAGCCGGTCGGATGATAGGGAATATAGAAAGAAAAAGAGGGTGGAGAATGACACAGACAAGTGGATTTAGCTATCCTGCTGAGAAGTATAATATAAAATACGAGCGATAATAAGAAAATCTATCATCCAGATAGTTACAATATCCCCTCCACAAGCTTACACATGCTACTTGAGGTGGAAAAATAGGATTCTCAGGAGATTACTGAGTGCATAAGTAAACTTGCGAGACTGCAAGAAATATAAGACCACAAATAAAAGTATATTAAAAATTCTGCTGAAACATTTATAAAGAGAAATTAGAACTAGCTGGGTACGAAGCCGATGGAATATCTGGAATTGTATAATGTCCACTATATGATGACTACTATGACAGAAGTCTTTGCACAATATGCTTTCATCCAGATCACGCTGACAACTGGACTAGGTTGAGAAAACAAGATCTAAGCACCTGTTATAGCAGGATAAGAGTGATACAAAATAGAGGCTATACCATCATGGCATTCATATATTCGGCCAATTTAATGATAACTTTGGAAGAAACTTATACTAAAAATAAAGTAACTCAATCAATCCCTTGATCGCAAAAAGATAAAACTTTTCCTAGCCTCAGGCATTTATCATGTGCCCACTGTTGTCTAAATTGGTTTTATGAGGATTTAGGTTATATAATTGTGACATAACCTTGACCCATTAATTTTATCAGCTGTTTTTAATGAAGCAAGTACGTACGTGATGGGCCGACATGTTTGGATATATGAAGATTGGTGAATTGTCGTTCAGATCGAGAACTGTGATAAACACTTCAACTGGGGTTGTCAACCGCCTCGCCTGGCTTTGCATTGCTTTTTCGACTATAGCTGGCTTACTAGGTTTCTTGCTCACTGACCATCCTCGGCTCTGTCCGGAAATGCGCTGTCCTTTACCAATGTTTTCCTCCTGATGGGTGTTGGCTTCGCCATCCGTGGCCAAGAGTGTCAGGTTGTAAGAGGACCGGATCTCGCGGTCTAGAAGCCGTGTTGTCGAAATTGTCCCGTCTTGACGTACCTGGATAATTAGAAAATACAAACAAAGATATTTTAAAACAAATGCCTTTAGGGATTTTAGAAAAATGGCATTATAGTACAAAGCATTTCATTATTATTTATAAACATTAATTTTTTTACAACATATCGGTAGGAGCAAGCCAGATTTATATTTCCATTGCGGGAATTATCACTAATCATAGGTTTAGTATACAAATCTGATGGTTAAGTAATTGATTTAAATTTTTTATCTAAACTATTTTTAGTATATGGAAAGTTGCTGTAAAAAAGTAATGCTAGCTATATACACTTAAATAAATTTAAATTATTGCAACCAAACAGAAGACAATATCATCTTAGTCTTCCTATCTAAGTTCTTTATTATTTTATCTTTATTTATTAAGCTCATAATAAATAATACGACGGTTTTCCTGACTTATATTTTGGTGCTCACCTACAGTTTAACCTGATATAAATATTTACTTAGAAAGAAAAAAATTCCCTCCGTCCACTTGTTCTAAATTCCAGCCTTGCATTCGAAGTAAATATTTAAACATTTCGAAGGAAGACAAAAAATAGTATTCAATTTTAGAAGATAATACTGAATTTAACTTTGATTGTAAACAGTAATAATGGATCCATTTTGTTGGGCAAATGAATTGGTAATCATGGAGACTTCCGAATTTTAAGCATAAAAGACTAATAAGGCGAACCTATGCTTTGGTAGCATGAAATAAATTAGATATGGAAATTGTAAGAATTTTTCTTTTCAATAAATACAAAAAAGGAGGATTTTTTAGAATTCCTCAGAAATTTGATATGGCACGAGTTTTCATTTTGAAAGAAAGCTTCCATGGATAGGATTTGTAAAAATGTTTCGCAGGAAACAGAAAAAGGATTATCTTTGGACGGAGAATTATTAATTGTGCCAAGGAGTCCTCGGCTCATAGTACCACGACCTTGATGAATCTGAGTTGATCCGTCGTCTGTCATGTCACAGACATCGTCAGAATAGGAAAACATGAAATTTGTTTTACCTGTTCAGTAGTTTATTTGTTTTTTTTACTAACGCACATGACAGACGAAAATTCGGGACAGGTTTATCAGGGCTTCACTGTAGTCGCTTTTTCTTAACTTCGCTTCATCCGTCAGGAGCAGTTCTTTAGCGATGCCCTTTCCTATTGCTAAATATTTGTT